CATTGATGTAAGAATTCATCATTTGTTCCAATGAAAAATTTGGCAAAAGATGCTTTTCTCTAGAATAGCCTTTGTTCTTCACTCATACTTTGAATGTTCTTAGATTAGTTAATGTTTGTTCTTTCATTACTTAGAGGGAGATTGTTAGACCCCATAAGTATTATGCATTAAGTAATGAAGACAAACAAGTGATGAAGAACCAGAAGGCCGATGGAAGACTTCAAGGAAAAAGAACTAAGTCTGAAGAACAACCAGAGGGTCGATGAAAGGACCAGAGATGCGATGGAAAGTGCATCTCCATAACCCCTCTGGTTACTAACACTTGGAGTTTCCCTCACCAGTTCAACTAGAAGCAAACAATGAAGATATGAAGATAAGTTTGAACTCATATTCCATGGAAGACAGCTGGAGATGACCAATCAACAGCTGGATTCTATAAAGTTTATCTAGGTTTAATGTTTATCCTTGTTTTAGATAAGCTTTATCTGTTAGTAGAAGATTAGCTAAATAGTCTCACTAGATAATTATCTTCTTATTTGATTACTAGTATAAATAGGTGGTTAGGCCTATTGTAGAAATCCTGGATGATCATTGAAACCCTTGGAACATAAAAATTGATCTTGGAAGAGTAACGAAAGGGTCTCTAGTTGGTCTATTAGATATACTAGAGGAGATCTGATTGAGCATGAAGGTCAAAGTTATCCCAGTTTTAAGTATTAAGAAAGTCAAGAGACTGTGGATAGACAAACGTGAGGCTCTAGGTGGTCTTTATGCTGCTTAGGAAATCAAGATAGTAAACCAGAGGGCCTCTGGTTGATAGTGAAGGTCAACCAGTGTGTGGTTGGTTTACTTTTGATCCTTAATAGGTTTATTTTATGCCCCTCAAAATGAGCTTAGGTTGGGAGAGATTAAGAAACTCCCCCTACGACCAAGAATGGGGAGGATTTTAGTAGCCAGAGGCTCTGGTTGTGAAGGAGGTCTAGAGGTGAAGACTTGGGGAAAAGGAAGGTTGGCCATAGAACCAGAGGGTCTCTGGTCCTAAGGGAAAGATAAATAGAGGCTCTAGTATTTAGAATCAGAGGCTCTGGTCTTATAGAAACACCATGATGGCTATACCACTATTCCTTTGGACCATCAAGAAAGTCTATGTAGTACAACCAGAGGGGCTTTGGTTGTAATAAGGTGATGGCTTTGTTCATAGAAGACTTGGATTACGACAAGTCTTGGATTTTGGTCCAAAAACTTGTGATCCAGAGGCTCTGGCTTATTGAACTAGAAGCTCTGGTTACACAAAATGATAAAAACAAATAAAGTGTTTGTGTAATAGTTTAAGATATGGTGACCAAGTGGGACCAGATGGGCTCTTGTACTTAAGACCTTGAATCCAGAGGCTCTGATCTTAAGAACCAGAGGCTCTGTTCGATGAAAGGTGTTAAAACGAAATCCTTGTTTTGGACTAGAGGGGCTCTGGTTCCAAAGAATGTAAAATTTTAGGCCAAATAAAAGACAAGTGTTTCCAATTAGCTAGAGACTATGGTCTATAGAACCAGAATCTCTGAAATAAAAGACTTGATTTCATGGGCCATAATATATCACTATTGACAAAACGTAGAGATAGTAGAGATCTCTGATGTGGAGGGAGTTTATGCCTAAAGTGTTGTAACTCAGCATACCCATCTTGCCGACAAGGAAAAGAAATATTTTCTTATCTAAAGATTTTGTGAAGATATCAGCAAGTTGAATATCTGTGGGAACAAAGTACATCTCTATGTTTCCCTTTTCTACATGGTCTTTGAGAAAATGGTACCTAACATCAATATGCTTTGTCTTTGAGTGTTGTTATGGATTTGTAGAGATTGCTATTGCACTTTTGGAGTCACAGAGTAAGGGGATTTTCTCATAATGGAACCCATAATCCTTTCGTTGAGTTTTCATCTAGAGAACTTGTGAATAACAACTAGCAGCAGCAACACACGCTGCTTTTGTTGTAGATGTTGAGATACAGTTTTGTTTTCAGGATATCCAACTAACTAGCTTATCTCCCAAAAGTTGACCGCTCCCAGACATACTCTTTCTATCAAGCTTGCACCATGCATGATCTGCATCTGTATAGGCTATTAGTTCAAAGCCAGAGTTATTTGGATACCAGAGACCCAAGAAAGGGGTGCCTTTTAGGTATATAAAGATCCTCTTGATTGCAGAAAGATGATATTTTTTTAGGATTTGCTTGATATCTTGCACAAAGACAAGTGGAAAACATTATATGTGACCTACTAGCTGTGAGGTACAGGAGGGACCCAATCATGCTTCTATAGGTTGTTACATCTACAGCCTTGCCTAATGAATTAGAGTATAACTTTACTCCGATGGCCATTGAAGTTCTCATAGATGATGAATTTGAGAGATTATATTTCTTCAGAAAGTCAGTCTTACATTTGTACTGATTGATGAAAATTCTTTCTGAAGTTTGTTTTATATGAAGACCCAGAACTAAGTTCTCCCATCATACTCATCTCAAATTTGATTTTCATCAAGTCTAAGAATTTTTCACAAAATTTGGATTTAGTTGAGCCAAATATAATGTCGTCCACGTATATTTGGACAAGTAAAATATCACCTTTGTGTCTTTTGAGAAAGAGAGTTGTGTCAATTGTACCTTTTTCAAATCCATTGGCCATAAAAAAAGTGGAAAGAGTTTCATACCAGGCTCTAAGTGTTTGTTTGAGCCCATAAAGAGCTTTATCTAGAAAGTAGACATACTATGGTTGTTTGGAGTATCCAAACCCAGGGGGTTGCTGAACATAGACTTCTTCTTGCAATTTGCCATTTAGAAAGGCAGACTTGACGTCCATCTGATAAACCTTGAAGCCCTTGTGTGCTGCATAGGCTAAGAATATTCTTATAACTTCAAGCCTAGCAATGGGGACGAAGGTTTCGTCATAGTCTATTCCTTCTTCCTGACAATAGCCCTTGGCAACCAGCCTGAGTATATAACGCAGCTTGAGTAGTAAAGCCTTGTGCTATAAATGCATAAGCGGGTAAAGAGTACATGTGTTGAGCTACCAAAGAAGTAATAAATCCTAAAGAAGCTAGAGCAAGGACTAATTGAAAATGAATCGAATTATTAATTTTGTCATAAAGGCCCTTATGCCCACGTCCCAATCGCCCTCCTAGAGGGATATGTGCATTTAAAAGATCTTTCATATTGTGCCCAATCCCAAAATTAGTTCTATACATATGCCCAGCAATGAGAAAAATAAATGCAATAGCTAAATGACGATGAGCCATATCAGTCAGCCATAAACTTTGGGTTTGTGGATGGAATCCCCCGAGAAGGGTTAAAATGGCAGTTCCTGCTCCTTGGGAGGTACCAAATAAATGACTACTTCAATCGGGATTTTGAGCATAAATATTCCACTGACCTGTAAAAAGTGGGCCTAACCCTTGGGGATGTGGTAATACATCTAAGAAATTATTCCATCGAACGTACTCCCCTCTGGATGCAGGAATAGCGACATGTACTAAATGCCCTGTCCAAGCCAAGGAACTTACGCCGAAGAGTCCTGATAAATGATGATTGAGACGAGATTCTGCATTTTTGAACCACAAAACACTTGGTTTCCATTTCGGTTGTAGGTATAACCAACCCGCTATTAAAGATATGGCAGAAATAAATAATAGAAAAAGAGCTCYAGTATAAAGATCTTCATTAGTTCGTAAACCGATTGTATACCACCACTGATAAACACCAGAATAGGCGATATTCACTGGGCCAAGAGCACCCCCTCGAGTAAAAGCTTCTACAGCCGGTTGACCAAAATGAGGATCCCAAATTGCATGAGCAATGGGTCTTACATGTAAAGGGTCCTGTACCCATGACTCAAAATTTCCTTGCCAAGCTACATGAAAGTGCCTTTCAAATCCTCCTAGCCATTATCCTACTACAATAATTCTTGCTAAGAAGAACKCCCATGTTGTGGCAATTCCACCCAGAAGGTAATGGGTTACTCCTACAGCACGTCCTTGTMCAATGCTTAAGGCTCTCGGCTGGGTAGCAGGAGCAACTTTTAATTTATTATGAGYCCAAACGATGGATTCAATAAGTTCTTGCCAATCACCACGTCCACTGAATAAAAAACATTAAACTAGAAGCCCATACAAAATGAGCACCTAGGAAAAAAAGGCCATATGCAGATAATGAAGAACCATAAGACTGAATTACCTGGGATGCCTGTGCCCATAAGAAATCGCGGAGCCACCCATTAATAGTAATAGAACTCTGCGCAAAGAATGTCTGAGTCCCTCTTCCTTTCTTGAACCTGTGAGAACACTCTAAGAATATGCCAGCAAAGACCTTATTCAATACTTGAGAAATTGCATCCATCACTGTCGTTTTTATGTGGTTGAGTAAGACGRCGTAGCTTCCCAGGTTTATTGGGTTTTGGAATAAATGATCTATCTATACATGAAAAGGATAAAACCTCAAGAAAGAATACCTTAATGCCTTATCAATGGAAAGGTCTTCGAAACTATGAATCTTTCATCTCTTCTCCTCCCACGACATGCCTAGCTATTACATTCTGACTCATGCATCTGCCGGTAAAGTAAAGCACGTCCAAAGTGATGCGTACCCCCATAGAAAGAAGCACGCCCGCCCGAAGTAGCATCCCATCGAATCAGCCCCCACAAGGGGTTCCCTACCCGTATTCCCCAGAGGAAGTGATAGGGGGGATTCGGTGCTCTGTATCGAGCGTCGTCTTTTAGCCGCCAAAACCGTGCCTTCCCCCCTAGAGATATACCTCGCCCGGATCAACGCCRAAGACCTGTTCGAGGTCAAGGTAGAAATTATCAAACTCATGACGGGCCTTGACCCAACGGGAGATTGGCTGGGGCAGGGAGCTCGAGCCCTGGATAATCTGAGAACCGCCACGGGGGAAGAGTCMTTAGAAAGGCTACTTTCCTTTTTAGACGATCTGAATCAAGGCGGAAAAAGTTCCTAGACTTTCCTACAATTAAAAGGGAAGRTTTTCCTTAGGGACAACCCCCCAGAAAACTCTTCCACATAGTGCGCRCGATCCACAAACTGACGCATGGGACGTAGCTAGCCGCGTGCAGCCTACCTGCTGAAGAYCGTAACGTAAGTAACTCAGTGCTCCATACGTGGGAAATGAAAGCAGAATTCGTTCGGATCCTCCCACATGTTCAATCTTTTTTTAGCGGTTTCCCCARAGATCTTTATCATTAATGCAACCTTCATTTTGCTCATTCATGGAGTTGTATTTAGTACGTCTAAGAAATTTGATTATCCACCGTTAGTCAGTAATRTGGGTTGGCTTGGATTACTTAGTGTTGCGCGCCTAGGAGGGCAGCGCGCTTTGGGATGCGGAGGAGCTATTATCGCCCAGTTCCCTAACCTAATGCGGCACCGGGTTCGGACCGCAGGGAACCGTAGCATRGGGGGGCTTAGAATCCTTTTGCCGCCSCAAGGCTGGCTAATCGTACGCAGCAGGCTCGAAGACCCCTGGTTCTGGAAGGCACATGAGTCCGAACGCTATGTTGRATGTGCGACCGACACTAGGTAGGTACCTGTGCAGGTGAGGCGTCGGTCGGTCCTAGAAACAACGGCAGTAGAGCGAGGAGTTAACGACCGAACATGCTGCAACCTATGGATCACCAGGCAACTCTTTCGCTCTATAGGGCATAGAACAATTCTTCTTGGAGGAGGGTTGGTTTGCCCGGGTGACTGATCCTRCCATAATGTACTCCTACCTATACTATAGCACCGACACCCGAAGTCGAGCATACATACGACGATCTTCATGCGTGAATAGCGGGGAGGAAAGAAAGGGCGGTAGATGATAATGAGAAAAGGCGCCGCGTCTGGGCGGGCGGAATGGATGAGCGAAAGGTGTCATGCCATGGAGTGGGTAATATCCCGAGTCTCATGTAAGACAACTAAATGCACCTCGAGGTGCTGCCGAGGAACTGAGGGACCTTCTCGAGCACATGATAGGTAATTGAGAGATAAAGCTAGCGTATTCGTTATGGGGAATCAATGCTCCGGGCCKAATAGAGCTTACCTACGGCACCTGGCTTTCTCCGGCACATATTAGCTTAGCTGCGCTTAATAGGCTGGGAGAGGGGCGCCCATTCCTAACCACTTTCATTTCGAAAAGGTTCGCTCATGCTGGAGGGAGCATCCCCACTTAGTGATTGGTCTGCTAGTTCACGCAAATCCGAARAAGTTATCACGGACGAGCCACATGCAGGGAAACTTGCACGTGTGGTTCTGGCTGGGCTTTCTTGAGGTATCTAATAACCTTGCTTCTGCTCGCCGCTGGCGYACCTCTCCTAACTATTGCCCATTTATTCTGGAATAATCTTTTTAGGARGGACAATTTTACATATTTCTGCCAAATCCTTCTATTATTAAGTACGGCTGGTACCATTTCGATGTGTTTCGATTCTTCCGAACAAGAGAGGTTTGATGCTTCTGAATCCATTGTATTAATTCCACTTCCTACTCGCAGTATGCTCTTTATGATCTCGGCTTATGATTCAATTGCCATGTATTTAGCTATTGAGCCTCAAAGTTTATGTTTTTATGTGATCGCAGCATCAAAAAGAAAGTCTGAATTTTCCACGGAAGCCGGCTCGAAATATTTGATCTTAGGTGCATTTTCCTCAGGAATCTTATTGTTTGGGTACGACCGG